TTGACTGTGTGAATCACAAAAAATTGTGGCTAACTTTGAGATGAATGAGAATCCCAGAATACTTCCCTGTACTCGTGTGAAACCTGTACTCAGATCAGGAAGCAATTGTCAGAACAGAGCAAATCACACTGCAAGGTTCAAAATCAGAAAAGGGTGTGCATCATGTATACATCCTATCTTCATAACTTGTTAATCTATATGTGGAACAGATAATTTGCAAGGCTGGACTTTATGCAGAGTTGTGTAGCATCAGGATGGGAAGAAGACTCATCAACAACTTGAATTATGCTGATGATACAACCTTGCTTGCTGAAACTGATGAAGACTTGAAGTGTTTGCCCCAGAAGGACCAGGACTGTAGTCTTCAATATAGATTGAAGCTTAATATCAAGAAGACAAAGATTTTCACTGCTGGACCAATTGGTAGCACCATGATACATGGATAAGAGATTACTGTTAATAGTTTCAGCTTTCTCAGCTTGACAATCAACATTCCTGACAGCTTAAGTCAAGGAATGAAAAGGTGAATTGCATTGGGAAAATCAACTGTCAGGGACCTCTCCAAAGTGCTAAAAAGGAATGATGTCAGTCTTGAGACTAAGGTGCACCTGATTCAGGCCATGATCTTTGCAATATTTTTTATGAATCAGAGAGTTGGACAGTAACTAAGGATGATAGTTGAAGAATTGATGTCTTTGAATTGTGGTGCTAGGAAAGAATCTTGAACATACCATGGACTGACTGCCAAGAAAACAAATAGGTCTGTCTTGGAGAGGGTGAAAGCAACTTTCTCCTTGGAGGCTAGGACTTTGAAGCTCTCTCTCACATACTTTGGGCACGTGGCGAGGAGAGACTGGTCCTTGGCCAGAAGGGTGGAGGGACAGTGCAGGAGAGGAAGACTCTGACTAAGATGGATTGATACAGTGACTGGGGCAATGGGGGTTGGTGTGTAGGAATTAGGTAGACTGGTGCAGGACAGGGCAGGGATCAGAACTGTTGTACAAAGAGTTGCTATGGGTCCCAGGTGACTCAATGGCACATAATAACAATAACTGGTTTACTTATGAAGTTTGTATACATTGTTTTTCACACCAAATCTTTCCCATTTCCTTCACCCCACCCTCCACCTATCAAATTGTGTGACTCTATGATTACTCCCCACCCAACCCCTCTACTCCCCTCCTTCCCTGACTAGGATCCTCATACACGTTCTACAATAATGATCTTAAAACATATTAGTCCCTATGGGCTGAGTTAGTTCACTTAGCATAATGCTCTCCAGTCCCCCCAAGTTAGATAGTGGTTTTCAAAATCATTGCTCCTACATGCTACATAGTATTCCTTAGTGGGAATGTACCGAAATATCTCAGTCTTTTCCATTATGATTGGACATTTGGGCTGTTTCCATGTTCTTATGGTGGTAAATAATGCTGCTATGAACACTGGTGCCTCAGTTCTCATTTTCTTGGCGTATATTCCAACAGTGGAATAGGTGGGCCATGTGCAATTTCTGTGTTCAGCTTTCTGTGTAAATACCAAACTGCCTTCCAGAGTGGTTGTACCATTTTACAATCCCACCAACAATGAATAAGAGTTCCTGTCTCGGCACATCCTCTCCAATATTTATTACTTGCTGACCTATTAAATTTTGCCACTGTTACTGGAGTGAGATAGTATCTCATTGTGGTTTGCATCTCTCTTACTGCCAGTGATTTGGAACATTTCTCCATGTCTATTGGCCATCCATGTATCTTCCTCTGTGAAAATTTCTTTCCCTATCTTTTGCACATTTTCTAATTGTGTTATCAGTCTTTTTCTTGTGGAGGCCCTGTAAGATTCTGTAAACTTTTGATATGAGACCTTTGTCTGAAATGGTATTACCAAATTTTTCCCCTCAGTCAGTGGGTTTCTTTTTACTTTGTTGGAAAACGTTGTTGATGCACGCAGGGATTTAATCTTTAGAAGGTCCCAGTCACCAATTTTACAGATTGTGCATTTCTGGCTGTATTTGTCAGTCTCTTTATACCATAAAGTAGTCCTTCTAAGCTTGATCCCAGTTTTTTTCTTATGAGCTTCATGGTTTTGGCCTTTATTCCAAGATCTGTGATCCACCTTGAGTTCATTTTTGTGTATGATGTGAGACGTAGACCCTGTTTCCACTTTCTGCAGTTAGCAGTCCAGTTGCCAGCACCATTTGTTGAATAGATTTTCTGAAATGTATTGTTTTTTTTAGTTTAGGATATCAGTAGGTGCATAGTTTATTATGCTCATGGTATTTTCTAAAAAATTGTGCAGGCAAAGGAGCAGTAATTTTGTAAATTACTATTTGGGAGGGCCTGAAGAGCATTATGCTAAGTGAACTAACTCAATGTCATAGGACAAATATTGTATAAGATCATTATTGTAGAATGAGTATGAAGATCCAAGGTAGAGGAGGATGGGAGCATAGGGGTGAGGATGGGCAGGGAGGGGAGATGTTAATCATAGGGTTACACAGTTTCACGGATGGAAGAAAGGGTGGGTGAAGGAAATAGGAAAGATCCAGTGTGAAAAACAATATATATGAACTTTGTAAATAAACCAGTATAATTAAAAAAAAAGAAAATTATGCAGAATTTGTATAGAAGTTGAGAAGATTTATTGAAAAACTCATTGAAAAGTCTTCAGGTTTTCTAACTAAAAGTATTTTAGTATATTCATATATTAATGCATGTACAGTATTGGAAATATTAACCTTAAGTATAAGGATGTCTCAATTTTCATATTGTTAAATGACTAAGAAAAACATTGTTAAATGAATGATAAAAATATTGAAATATTTCAAAGAAGTTATGTGCATACATATTTAATTTATAGATAAGCACATGAAAAGATACTCAGCATCATATATCCCTTTTAAATAGTTCTCTCCCTCATCTGTTTAAATGCAGTATATATCATTCCTCCCCTCCTTCTCTGTCTTCCCTCAACCCTGATGTCAGTCCTGTTTTACAACAGTGGTCCTATGCAATTTATCCTTTTGTGACTGAGATATTTCATTCAGCATAATGTTCTCCAGAGTCAACCATTTGTATAATATTTCATGAGTTCCTTGTTTTTCATTGCAGCATAGTATTCCATTGTGTGAATATACCAGAGCTTCTCTATCCAGTCATTTGTTGATGGGCACTTGGGTTGTTTCCAGCTCTTTGCTATTGTGAACAAAGCTGCAATAAACATGGGTGTGCATATATCTACTTGAGTGGTGGTTATGGTTTCTTTAGGGTAAATTCCCAGTAGTGGAATTGCTGGTTCAAATGGTATTTCTATTTGCAACTTTTTGAGAAAACACCGTACAGCCTTCCATAGTAGCTGCACCGTTTTATACTCTCACCAACAGTGAATATGGATTCCAGTTTCTCGACAACCTCGCCAGCATTTGATGTTTGCTGTTCTGTTAAATTTTGCTATTCTTACTCGGGTGAGATAAGATGTAATATATTCATGAATGTGTGCAACAGAAATTTTTATCACTGTCAAAACTTGAAGTAAGTTAAACAATTTAAACAACTGGAGATAAGTACAACATGAGCTACCCAAACAATAGACATCAACACAAAGGAGCAAATGACTGATAAAAGTAAAACATAGATGAATTTCAGGAACATACATGGATCTCAAAAACATACCTACAAATACATGGGTGAATCTCAGGAAAGTTACATAAAAATGTTACATAGTAATGGTACATTAAAAAAGATTAATGTATATTCTGTAACTCCACTTAAGGTAAAATGTAGAGAAGACAAAATTGTAGAAGCAGAGTCACATCAGTCATGGAAACTGAGATTGACTGCAAATAAACACAAGAGAAATTTTTTCGTTGATGGAAATATTCTAAAATTAGATTTTCTAGTTGCTTTGTGGTAAGAAATTGCACTGACAACTAAGAGGTATGTGGTTTGAACCCACCATGGGAGATCCATGGGAGAAAGATGGCAGTCTTCTCCCAGGCAATTTACTGTCTCTGAAAATCCACTAGAGGATCAGGTATGAAAAAGTTCCGATTCAGTGGTACTCAACAACAAGAAGAACCGTGGATGCACAATTGTACAAATTTACTAAAACTCATTGATTGAATGGCTGTGCTTTATACTATGTAAAGTATCTCCTAAGCAAACAACACGTGTGCTTTACTCTTTTCCTTCCTAGGCAATTATCTACAAAAATCTTGCTGAAAAGCTTATAGAATTTCCATTGCTTGCCTCTTGGTACCAGAGGATTCAGGAAGTGCCAAAAGTGAAAACAGCAGCTTCTAAGTGTGGAATCCAGTTTCTTGATTTGCCAGAGTTGTTGACCTCCTCAAATGAGCAGCATCCAAATCCAAGCGAAGTCCCAGGAGTAGAGGAGCAAAATGATCCTTCGTTCATAGGAGGACCAAGACCAACAATGACCAAGTTAATGGTAATTCAGTTATCTTATTAAATTAAAATGGTTCTGCGTGACAGAACTGTGGGAGCTCTGGTGGCCTCATGGACAGAGTTGTGCTGCCAACTCCAAGAACAACAGTCCTGTCCTCCAGCTGCTCTGTGGGATAAAAATGGGCAGTCTCCTTCCATATGTTTTATAACCTCCATAACTCCACTGGAAGGGCAGCTGAGTTGGTCTGACTCAGTGGTACATAACAAGAACATGTGATAACTTTGGTATGAATTTTACCACATTTGGCATTCATATTTTGACATTATATGTGTTCTCAATTTATTTCATTATATCTCTCATAAGTAATTCTTGCCCATGTTATTTCTACTAGTCATCTGCATTCACATAAAATATCAGTTCAAACTCAAAATTAAAAGTAATTACTGTAGCGTAATAACTGACTTTCAGCTGACCCTCCAGTGAGTTTCTGAGCCTGTAAATTGTACAGGACATTGTTTGTATTTCTTCTGAAGGGTTGCTGGTTGTTTTAAATTGACAGAATTGTTACCTCTTGGATAGCAGTATGACTCCTATGTACTATGCCACCAGAGCTCCGCTCATATTAGATATTTATAATAATATATATCTTCATAGTAAAAGAATAAGTTTTAAGAAAGTAGTTTTAATTTTTTAAATATTTCTGTATATTCAATACACTGACAAATGTATTGTCATAATTTGGGTCAATCCTTTGTATTTTGTGATGATCATTTGAAGTTAAATACATATTCAAATGGATATGTTGATCTACTTAAACGGATTTTATCTATACTTAGGAATTTTGGAATTTATTTAAACTTTGTTTTACTTTTTTAAATGCCTTTGTTGTATAATACTGGCTTTGAGAATCCTAGTGTTAGAGATACTGTTGTTTGGTGCCGTCAAGTTGACTCTGACTCCGAACAACACTGGGAACAACAGATCTGAATTAGTTGCTGTTTTATGGCCTCCTCACAATTTCTGTTATGCTTAAGCCCATTGTTACAGGCATTGTTATTCTCCTTGGGAATCTTCCTCTCCTTCTCTGACCCTCCACCTTTCCAAACATTATGTCTCTTTCCAATGACTGTCCCTTCCTGACAACCATCCTCACCTCTAGAGAGTGGAAGACCCTCAACCAGGTGGATTCACATGGTGACTGCTGTGATGAGCTCTTGTGTGTCAAGAAGTGTGAGGATGGCACAGAAAAGAACAGGATTCAATTTTGTTCATAGGGTCACTAGGAGTCATACTCAACTCGAGGGCACCTAACAGCAACAACAGCCTCTAAGGCACAGAGTGGTTGCACTTCCTCCAGGACATATTTTTTGTTCTTTTTGATAGTCCATAATATATTCAGTATTCTTCTCCATAGACATAATGTGGTGATTCCTCTTTCTTCCTTATTCTTTGTCCAACTTTCAAATGCATATGAAGAAGTTGAAAACACCATGGCTTGCATCAATCTTTAAACTGACATCCTTTCTCTTTAGCACTTGAGAGAGCTCTATAAGAGCAGATTTTCCCAGTGCAACATGACTTTTGGTTTTTTTGACTGCTGTTACCATGGGTATTGTGGCATTTATCTTTCAGTTTGACTTTTCTTTGCCATTATTTGCCTTTGCTATGTAGATGGACAGGAATATGTGAATGGGGCATTAGCCTGTTCACAAGGGGATTGGCCACTCCTAGTCCACAAGAGGACTGGACAATCTCAACAGTCTACAAGGGGATTAACTAGTTTCACCATTGAATTAGCAAGCCAGCAACTAGAGACAGACAGCTCTTCTGGTACCATTGAAAAAACAAGAGAATGTAAGATGCCCTTGTTGCTCCACTAAACCTATAGCAGCAACATCTATGGTCCAACTGGGGACTTAACATGAGATGAGACCTTGTGGGGTAATGCAGAGCTAACATTGTTAGGACTGAGAACTTAGACAACTGGAGGTAGAAAGCCAATATTGGCAGGATTGAGAACTTGGCAACACTGACTGGCAAAAGCTTAAGGCTGAGGTGACTGAGTGCACATCTCAGAAGCTGTCTTAACTGTAGTCTTTAGTTAATCTGGATTATAGCCTTTGACTTCCTCAATATGTGGTCTGTGAGCTATCACTTCAGATTTTGGATCCAACAAAGCAGTAATACTGATGGTGAGATTAATAGATAGAGGTATGGGAGTGTAGGGACATGCCTGACATTATGGGAATTGGTTTTGTGTTACTGATGCTGTTGACAGGGACAGTTCCCCTTTATGAAGATAATAAAGGTCAGACGTGGCCGTCCCCAAATAGTCTTTGCTCTTTTTTACAGATGTTGATTGTGGATCCAAGTAAAATGACGACTTTAGTTTCTTCTCCTAGTGGTTTGGTGTATAACTTATCAGGCTGCTAACCAAAAGATCAGCAGCTTATATCTACCAGCTGCTCCTTAGAAGAAAGATCCAGAATCTGCTCTTATAAAGATTTATAGCCCCAGAAGTCCAATGGAGGGTGGCTTTAAGTTGGAACTGACTCAACAGTAATAATTAGTGGGATAATAAGAATGTATACTATACTGAGTCATTGTATAGAAAGGAATTGACAGATACAGTTACAGAAGAATTTAATAAAATAGCATTTGAGCCAGAGCCTATGGTGATGAAGGCAGAAGTTCAAGCTGCTTTGAAAGAAATAGCAAAAACCAAAGCCCCCGGAATAGATGGTATACCAATTGACATATTTCAGCTAACAGATGCTGCCCTGGATGTGCTTACCAAGCTGTGCCAAGAAATCTGGAGAACAATCACTTGGCCAACTGACTGGAAGAGGTCTGTATTTGTTCCCATCCCAAAGAAGGGCGACCCAACTGAGTGTGGAAACTACAGAACAATATCATTGATTTCACATGCAAGCAAGATTCTACTGAAGATTATCCAAAAATGACCGGAACAGTACATCAGCAGAGAACTGCCAGAAGTCCAGGCTGGGTTTAGAAGGGGTTGTGGTACTAGGGATATTGTAGCTGATGTTAGATGGATCTTAGCGGAAAGCAGAGAATACCAGAAGAATGTCTATCTGTGTTTCATTGATTATGCAAAGGCATTTGACTGTGTGGATCATAAAAAACTGTGGCTGACTCTGAGAAGAATGGGAATTCCAGAACATTTAATCGTGCTAATGCGAAACCTATACTTGGACCAAGAGGCAGTCGTCAGAACAGAGCAGGGCAACACTGCATGGTTCAAAATTGGGAAGGGTGTATGCCAGGGATGTGTCCTATCTCCATACCTTTTCAACCTCTATGCAGAGCAGATTATCCGAGAGGCTGGGCTCTATAAGGAAAAGCATGGAGTTAGGATTGGTGGACGATCTATCAACAATCTGCGTTATGCAGATGACACAACCCTGCTTGCTGAAACTGAGGAGGATCTCATGCACTTACTGCAGAGGGTCAAGGACTGCAGCCTTCAATATGGACTGAAGGCTCAATGTCAAGAAGACAAAAATTCTCACGGTAGCATCAGGATGGATGGTGAAGAGATTGAGATTGTTCACAGCTTCAGTTTTCTCGGCTCCACAGTCAACACTCTTGGCACCAGCAGCCAGGAAATCAAAAAACATATTGTGATGGGAAAGTCTGCAGTTAGGGACCTCTCTAAAGTACTCAAGAGCAACGGTGTCTCTCTGGAGACTAAGGTGCGCCTGATACAGGCCATGGTTTTGGCAATCACTTGTTATGCATCAGAGAGTTGGACAGTGACTAGGGAGGATAGAAGAAGAATTGACGCCTTTGAGCTGTGGTGCTGGAGAAGAGTATTGAATGTACTATGGACTGCCAAGAAACCAAACAGATTCACCCTGGAGAGGGTTAAACCAGGCTGCTTCTTGGAGGCAAGGATTCTGGGGCTTCGTCTGACATACTTTGGACATGTTGTAAGGAGAGACAGGTCTTTGGAGAGGGACATGATGCTGTGTAGAGTGGAGGGACAGCACAGGAGGGGAAGACCCTCTATGAGGTGGATTGACTCAGTGACTGGGGTAATTGGGATGGGTGTGTCAGAGGCAATGAGATTGGCACAGGATAGAGCAGGGTTTAGGGCTTTTGTACATAGAGTCGCTATGAGTCGCAAAGGACTGGATGGCACATAACAACAACAACAACTATTAATTTTCCCTGTTAGAGATAAGATTTGTTCCTAGTAGTGCTGATTGAACTAACAATGAAAAAGAGGAAGACCCTAAACAAGAAGGACTGACAGGGAGGGAGATTACAGCAATGGTTTGAGCATAGCAGAGATCTTGAGGATAGTAGAGCATAGGGCAAGGTTTCAATCTATTGTTCACAGAGTTGCTAGGAGTTAACTTGACAGCACCTAACAACGATAAAAATGGTACTAATTAGAGAAGTTTTCATTATTTTCCTGGTCATTCAAAACAGTCTATACAATTGTATTTTTTGTCATACTAGTTGAAGAATATTTTATGGAAGAAACTATATTAGGTAATTTGATCTATTCCTTTGAGTTACATTGGAAAAATATATTATTATATTGCTCTGTTTGAGTTGGGAGGTGTTTGATTTTTATAGCTGACAGAGAGCTTGTAGATTTATAAAAGCATAAGAGTATTTTAGCTATGTGTCTTTTCAGATGTGTGTCTTTCTTAAGTAAGTCAGTTCCCTGTATCTCTAAACCTATAGAGTGAATAACATTCTCTCATTGCCATTAAGTTGAAACCTGCTGACCCTCCAGCAGGTTTTCAGATGCTGCAAATTGCATGAGAAGAGATTGCTTATCTTTCTCCCTTAGAGCAGCTCATTGATTTGAACCACCAGAGAAATGCCACCTTTGGGATAACAATGCAGTTCCCTACCCCCTAGGCTATCAGAGCTCAGCTGTACCTCTAGGCCCATGGAAAGAATCTTTGTACTTTTCCTTTGGCATCTAGAAAATAATCCCACAATCTGATATAAACAAGTTAAGGATGAATTCTTAGGAATTTTTCTGAGTATGGCATTCTTGGAGGAAAAAAATACATGAACCATGGCTATCTATCCTAGGGACCTAGGACCCAGAATGCTGTTGAAAGGAGTTTGTGAATCCTTATATGCCATATTATTGTTTATAGATCCAACAACAAATGTTTGACTTCTAATATAAAGAAGCAGCTTGAAAAACTTCTTGATATGTTGAAAAAGTACCCTTACTCCTAAAAAGAATTAGGCTTAACCATAAAAATCCCTCTTCTAGACACATTGTGGCTTCTTTTATAAATCTTGTTCTGGGTGATGTTATTGGAGCTTTTGGGTGCCATTGAGTCAACTTACTCACTTGTAAGGTGCTGTGTGTGCAACAGATGAAAACCCTGTCTGACTGAGATATTTCACTCAGCATAATGTCCTCGAGGGTCACTCATGTTGTGTAATATTTTATGAGTTCCCTGCATACCACCACTGTTATAAAAGAGCATTGACATGGGAATTGGGGGGTAATTAAGAAAAGAGGGGATAAATAATACTGCATTGGAACAGATGAAGGAAAGAACTGTTTAAAAGGAATGTATGATTAGGCATTGTACATATGACAAGAGCCCAAAGAAGACTCAGTGAAGCAGGGAAGGGAGGTAATTGTGCAACAAGGAATGGATTCTTTTTTTTTTTAAGTGAGCTAGAGGAGGGGAATGAGAAGTAGATATAAAAAAAATTTCCCATAATGAATGAATGAAAATCCAACTTTTCTGTAAACTTTTGTTAAAATTGCAATTAAAATTAAAAATTTTCTTTAAAAAAGCAACTACATACGCAACACCCCGTCTGAAACTGTGCCACTGTCGTAAGTTCCACTGTGTCTATTGTTGCAATCACTGCCTCAGTCCATCTTGCAGGAAGTCTTCCTGTACTTGTCCAAGTATGGTGTCCTTTTCCAGTGACTGGCTCTTCCTAATAACATGCCCAAAGTAGGTAAGATGAAGTCTCACCATCTTTGATTATAAAGCAACTCCCCGACTGTGCTGCTTCTAAGACAGATTTATTTATTCTTTTAGCAGTCCATAGTACATTCTTGGAAGCAGGAGTGGCATCCACTTCCTAAACAACATCCCTCTGGAAACTCTATGAATTTTGATAAATGTCGATAGTTAGAGAAAGGCTTCAGGCCTTTTGTTCTTGGGGTCGCTGTGAGTCATGCTCAACTCAATGGCAATCAACAACAACAACAATAGTACATTCAGTGTTCTTTGCCAACACTGCAATTCAAAGGCATCCATTCTTTCTTATTCACTGTCCAAATTTCATAATCATAAAGCCATTACAACCATGGGTTGGATCAGACATACCGTAGGCTTTAAGCTGAGGCTCTTGCTCTTTAGCACTTGAAAAGGGCCCTTGACGGAAGATGTTCCTAATGCAATATGTCATTGGGTTTCTTGACACTTGCTTCATTGGATGCTGACTGTGGAGCCAGGTAAAATGAAACAATTGACCACTTCAATCTTTTGGTCATTTGTCCTGATGCTGCGTGTGCTGAATCAGTTTATGGTGATCTCTGTGTGGATTGCTTTTGGAAATATTTTTATCCTGAGGAAACTCCCTATATTTCTATATTTGTTGCTTTCTCATACTACCAGGAAGTTAAAATAGTTGTTATTTTTATTGTCTCATAAAAAAATAAAAGGTAACCTGAAAAGGTTCAGAGTCGCTATTAGCTGTACAAAGTAGCACTTAACAAAAACAAGATGTTGTGAAAAAATAAACAAGATACCTTAAGTCTCTGTGTTTGTAATTCTTTTGGGGAATTCTTAACAGTTGTTGCTATGCTCTTTTCTAGGAGAAATTTTACTTTCTAGATGTAGCAGGAGTTTATGAGAACTTTGATTTGGAAAGGGTCTGTTTCATTTTCTAGGAAAAAGGCATTGAAGTGATGTTCTCTCCCCATCCATGTCCTACCTGGACCCTTGACTGGAATAGTCTTCCTGCAGCTGTCAGCCCAAAGGAAGGTGAGTTTTTTGGTATTCATTTTCTCTTTAAATTTTTATTTATTATTTGGAAATACTGTTCAGATCTGTCTTTTCATTTCCTTGATTCTTTCATAATATCCTGTGTTTATGATTCATTGGTTTTTATTTCTGTTTTATGAAAATTTCCTACTTATGCATTCACTTGCTTACTCATTTTGGTTGAGTCCTCTCTGACTCTCTAGCAGATTTTCAGAAGCTTGAGAAATTGTATATGAGAGGAAACTGACCATCTTTCTTGCTAGAAGCTGCCAGTGATCTCATACCAACAGAGATTCACTGTCTCTCGGTTACCAGTGTAAATCCATGTGGACTGTGACATCTTAAAGAATATTCAGACTTTTTTCCTTCATTTTGCTACCATTGCTTCATCAACTATGCCTTTTAAAAATTTCCTCTTATTCAAGTATTTTTAAGGAAATCTGAGACATGTCATCTTTTAGTACACACATCTAAAATTATATCATCTTCTTACCTAATCATAATGCTACGATCACACCTTTTATTAGGAACGAGAGCTTACTGATTAAATGGAATGAGATCCCTCATCCATATTCAGTTTTCCCAATTTATTTATACAGTTGTTTGAAAAAAATGCCTTCTACAATAACGTTCTTATATTTAAATGGTTATATTTTTCTTTTCTACACATTGGGTTTTGTTATTTTTATTTTTAATGACATTTATTTTGATCATGTTTCAGTTTCCTCTTCTTTTACAATTCTTGTGCACAGTTACTATAGATTCTGTTATTTCTTATGGCTAATGTTCATAGCAGTATAATTATGTTGTTTGGTTTTCGTGCTGACTTTCATGCCTGGTTTTATGTAGTAATGTTTATTCTAACTGTACTATGCCAGGGGTAAAAGATTAGGCTCTGTACTACTTCTCCTGTTAAAATGTAGGTTCCTATTGCCAAAAATATTTCGAGCAATACAAGATCAGTGTAGATTATTGTGCTACTTTTCAGTTCTTCATTTTGAGGGGGAGAAAATAAAAATCACACCTGTGGATTTTCTGTACTCTCAGAATTCCAGATAGATATTTAAAGGCTGCTTATGGAATTTTGAGTGTGATATGCAGATGGTCATTGAAGCATATGTCTTCCTTTCTCATCAACTCCTCGGTAATACTTCCTAATATGCCTGTAACCCACCCATCAATTCTCTCTGCCAGTCAAGGAAATAATTTTGAATTGATAATTTGGAATCAATGCTTTTGCAACGAAATAAATATTTTTAAGCTTAGTACACAACTAATCTGTTACTTTGTTGTACTGTGTTTGCTTCCCTGTTGCTGTAATTCTGGAACCTGGGCCTCTGGTATTTCAATGACAGCAGGGTCATTCATGATGGACAGGTTTCAGCCAAGCTTCCAGACGAAAATAAACTTGGAAAAAGGTCTTTACTATCTAATCATGAAAAAGCGTGGCCATGAAAATTATAAAAACAACAGTTCACTGTCTGGTGTAGAACTGAAAGGTTAGAAGACTCTCAAAATATGGCTAGAGAAGAGCTGCCTCCTCGGAGTAGAATCAACCTTAATGATGCAAATGGAGAAAAGCTTTCATCACCTTCACTTGTTGATGTAGCAATACTTAAAGTGAGAGAGGAAGCAGCTGCAAGCATCCAATTAGTTATTGGACTATGAAATGTACAAAGTATGAATCTAGGAAAATGAGAAGCTATCAAAACACATAAAGACATAAACGCATACTGAACACATAAAGATTGATATCTTAGACAATAATGCGATGGAATAAACTGCCGTTGGCCGTTTTCAATCAGACAGTCATATAAGCTATACCTGTTGTGTTGTTGTGTGCCGTTGAGCCCATCCTGACCCATAGCTGACTCTCCAGCCCAGCAGATTTTCAGAGGTAGTTTAATCGCACAAGAGGAGATTGCCCGTCCTTCTTCCTTGGAGCAGCTGCTGGATTTGAACTGTGAATATGAACAGACGCCTTCGGGATTGCAGGGCAGTTTCTTACCACTACGTTTTAGAGTCTCTTCTGATGTTTATTTTGGCCTTTTTCTTTATTTCCAATCTTTTTCTTGCCTTTTGCTTTCTTCAAATATGAGGTCCTCAAGGTCATCCCATAACTTATCTGGTCATTAGTGATTAAAGACTTAAATCTGTTTTACAACAATAACTCTTTATCAACACAGAGTGATCCCCCATTGGGTTTCCAAGGTTAATATTGGCATGGAAGGAGATTGCCTATCTTTCTTCTACAAAGCTGCTGCTGGATTCTAACTGCCAAAGGAGCTTGGTCTTTGCCTAGCAGCACAACGCTGTACAGACTGGGCTGATGGTATTAATTTGAGTTCAGTGTTTTATCTTGGCTCTCATGGATTTGCTTTAATTTCTTGAGCTTTGCATTGAACTAGCATATGAACAATTGAAGTTCTGATCCAGAGCGGCCCTCTCTCGTTGTTCTGACTGATGATATTGAGCTTTTTCATAGTCTCTTTCCACAGAGGTAGTTGAATTGATTCCCATGTATTCCATTCAGGAAGGTCCAAATGTGTATCTGCCATTTATATTTGAAGAAGAACAGCATTGGGCTAGGCATAGGTTTCACATGAGCACAATTAAGTGTTCTGTCATTTCCATTCTTCTCAAAGCTAGCCACGATATGTTAAATTTGAAATTTCTCCTAACCCAGCATGACCTCATCAACCATACTGGAGGAAAGAGAATCAGGAAAATGAAACTTCGAGAAGATAAAAGAACCATGAAGATGGTTTGTTTAGATGTTGCTATAATCTCTCTTACTTTTTGTTTGAAGTTCTGTAGTCTTTGATGCAATTGAGTATATGTGAGTCATGTTGTTTTTGAGAATTACAAGAGAATCGCTTGTCCTAGGGAGACAGATAAGGAGGTGGTGGATAACCTTAAACATCACTACACATTCATTCTCCTTTACTAATTGAATGCTTGCTGCAGAAAGTCAAGGACTGCAGCCTCCTATATGGATTGAAGCTCAACATCAAGAAAGCAAAGATTCTCACCACTGGGCCAATTGACAGCATCAGTATGGATGATGAAGTTAACAGTTTTAGTTTACTTGGCTCCACAGTCAACACTCACAGTATCAGCAGCCAGGAAATCAAGAGATGAAGTGCATTGGGAAAGTAAACTGTGAGGGACCTCTCAAGAGTACTGAAAAGCAACGATGTCAGTCTGGAGACTAAGGTGCACCTGATCCAATCTATAGTCTTTACAATTACGTGCTATGCATCAGAGAATTGGACAGTGAATAGGGATGAGAGAGAGAGAATTGATGTCTTTGAGCTGTGGTGCTGGAGAAGAGTGTTGAATATACCATGGACTGCTAGGAGAACAAACAGGTTTGTTCTGGAGAAGGTGAAGCCAGAATGCTCCTTGGAGTCAAGGATTCTGAAGCTTCGTCTGATATACTTTGGGCATGTTGCAAGCAGGGACTGGTCCTTGGAGAGGGATATCATGTTTGGGAGAGTGGAAGGACGGCAAAGGAGAGGAAGACCTTTGATGAGATGGATTGATTCTGTGACTGGAGTGGTGGGAATGAGTGCATTTGAGATGGCTAAGTTGGCACAGGATAGAACAGTGTTTAGGGCTCTTGTACATAGGGTCGCTATGAGTAGAAAGTGACTTGATTGCACATAACAACAACAACAACAATTGAGATAAAATAAAAACAATTATAATGGAAGAGCTTTAGTAGAAGATTAAAAGATTTTTGTGTTGTGTGCTGTGTACCATAGAGTCTGATCTGACTCATTGTTGACCCTCCAGCAGGTTTTCAGAGGCAGTTAATTGTTGGGGAGGAAATTTTCCATCCTGAGAGCAACTGGTGGCTTCTAACCACGTGCCTTTAGGATTGCAGGGCAGCTACTTGCCACTAAGCCACCAGAGCTCCTTAAACCCAGTGGATTTCATTTACTTGTGATAGACATGCATAATATTTTACAAATATTGTTAGCTAGTACATCTTAGCTTCTGTTAAATGTCTATTCAGAGCAATTAATTTGGGAAGCTGGATTACATGAAGAAGAATTTGACTAGGGTTGGAAGAAGGTTTATGAACAACCTGCATTATTTAGATTGCACAACTTTACTTGCAGAAAGTGAAGAAGTCTTGAAGCACTTGCTGCTGAAAATCAAAGACTGTAACCTTCAACATGGGTTATACATAAACATGAAGAAAACAAAATTCTTTCCCAGTAGATGGACCAATGAGCAATATATCATGATAAATGGAGAAAAGGATTGAAATTGTCAAGGATTTCATATTACTTGGATCCACAATTAATACTGTTTTATTTTCAATCAAGAAATTAAAAGATGTATTGGAAAATCTCCTGCCAAGGACTTCTCCCAAGTGCTGAAGAATAAGGATGCCCGTTTGTGGATTAAGGTGTGCTTGATCCAAACCATGATCTTTTTACTTAACCTGGTAGGTTAAGTAAAGTTGAACAATGAATAAGGAAGAATGAAGAAAAGTCCATGTCTTTGAATTGTAGTGTTGCAGAAGAGTATTGAATATGCCATAAACTGTCAGAAGAACGTACAAATCTGTTTTGGAGGAAGTGCAAGCAGAGTGCTCCTTAGAGGCAAAGATGGTGAAACTTTTGTCTCACATATATTTCAGGAGGGGCCACTCATTGGAAAAAGTCATGCTGGGAAAAGTAAAGTGTCAGGAAAGAGAGAAGACCTTCACTAATAAGATGGATTGATGCAGTGACTACAACGAGCCTGAGAATGGCAAAGATAATGAGGATGGTGCAAGATAGGGAAAGGTTCAGATCTCTTGTTCATGTTTGTGCTGATGACTCAATGGCACTTAATGACAGCAGCCTTCTCTGGAGATCAAGAAACCTTGATGGTGTAGTGCATAAAGGGTTGGGCTGGTAACTCATAGAACCCATTAGCCACCAGCTGCTCTGCAGAAGATTTGCAGCATATAAAAATGACATCATTGGGAACCTGATGGCAGT